GATATTTTTAAAAATAATAGTCGTTCTCAAGACTTTACATTTTAAGCAATAACTCAACAACGCCGTAACCGAATTTCAAAAACCAAACATGAAAAGATATCAGAATTTAACGTAGCATCTGAATATTTAATGATATACAGGGCGTTCTATTTTAAAAAATGGAATTTTGGTCTGTAGCACCTACACCAAACACCCTGTATACTTAAAAATTATATCAAATATAGCTCTCATGAACTCCTAAAACTTTTGTATGAAACATTTTTGTGTATCTCCTTCAACGAATCAGATATTGCCTGTCACATAAAATGTGGGACACTCGGTATATGAAAGGGTTGAAAATTATAAAAGCGATTGAAATTAAAAAAATGTAAAAATGTATTCATCTGAGTCATAACCTTCAAATACTTCTTCTTGTCGTTCTTCTTCTTGGTCTTGTTCTTCTTCTTCTTGATGTTCATCCTGGGTGTAGGTAAACTGCGTCAAGAGTGATGTATCGCATGTTTCCTCGTTGGTATCAAATGAATCCTCCACTATTGGTGATTCAGTATTAGAACATGACTGGCCTTGACAATGTGTACATGCCAGAGAATACAACAGTCCAACTTTTTTACAACCACATTTAGCGCTGCAGTTGCAAAAAATTGTGTTCAGCAGTTTTTCCGGCGCAGGTGGGAGTAAAGTCTGAATAGGTTCTAATGCATTATCGACCAACTTCCAACCCCAGTCTTTTGGATCTAGCTGATAACCAATCCACATTTGAATTTGGTAATATACCAGAAAAAGATGTTGATAAGCAGCAACTGAGGTTGGAGGAAGACAAGCTAATTGCACCTGTTTCTTATTTTTAGTGTTTTTTACAAAACATGCATATCGATACTTATCTAAGCAGGTGGTTTTTTTCGGAGCTTTGTACATAGAAATGTTCAAATGCTCAATGTGCTGAAAACTTCAGCACATTGAACAAAATCTTGTTTTTCAAACATTTTGAAGACTGTTGCTTTACCCCTCCTGTAAAATGCAGACGTCGTATCACAGCCAGTTATTGCGTGTAAAAATAGTACATGATTTTGACTCTTTGCAAAAGTAGACAAACTTTTCAACGAATATATTTCGGTTTGACTTTGAGCTTTTCCTGGCTTCAGAAAGAAAATGGTTTTTTCAGGTGGAGTTCAAGCAGTAAGAAGTACGAGTAAGTCTACATCTCAAAACAGCACGAAATTGGTTAGGTTAAACACGTGTTTTCACTACAGCGTGGCAGTATTTTATTTATTGGACATTCTGACAAAAAGCAGGTATACGACCCTATCCACGCACACAATTGAACAGGGAGACAGATGTTGGCTCAAGGTTACACTAGCGTACAAATTAAGGGACTGGATTTCATTCTACGTGATATTCTTATATTTATACTTATGTATACCAATAGAAAAATATTTCTACTTAAATTACAACTTCAGAGATGTATATACGTGGCATACTTATGCATATAATGACGATTACAACTTTAACAACTTTTTGACTCGTCGTATCTCAGAAACCGTGGCTCTAAAAAAAGTATTGATACATTTTTTGTAGAGAATTTTATGATCTACAATTTTTATGATGAAACTTACCGTTTTCCTGAAAATCGCGAAAAACCAATTTTTTTCGAGATTTTTGACCTTTGACTTCGAATAAATTTTTTTCCAGGTATCGCAATCATTCGGAATTTCAAAATCTGTAAGAAATGAATTTATGAAAAATATAAAAAAAACATTTTCAAAAAAGTATGGCGGGCCTAAACACCCACCGAAGAAGTATGGCAAATAGCGAGCGACGGATTTTTTTTGGGAAAATACCGATAAATTGAAAAAAATCCGTGAAAGAAATTGTTTGACATCTCTGGATTTTCGAGCAATTTTAATTAATTATTCCGCAATTGCGTCCCGCGCACCACCGGTAAAAATATCATTTTTCTTTCACTTATTACGTATGTGGATCCTCCTGAAAGCGCCAAACTGTAAGAAAGGACTTACCAAAATCTTCCACCATATCCCGGTCTATTCCACAGGCAGTTCGTCGATTATCTGTAATCGGTGGTTTGAACTGTTAATTATAGATAATCGACACTTCGAACTGTCGATTATGGCTAATCAACAGTTTGAACTGTCGATTAAAGATATTCAAGAGTTTGAACTGTCTAGGCTAGCAACATGATGGTAAGGTGCGCCTATTGAATGTGATTTCCGTGAAGTCACAATATATCTAAATACACTGCTCAACAATTGATGTGAATAATTTCAAAATTATAGCCAATACTTTTTGAATATTTTTTTCAGTACTCTTATCTCTACCGAAAAGGATGTATGAATATGCTCCTAAAATCTGTTTATAAAAAAATACAATCAAATTGTTCAAGCACAATTATGACATTGTATCGATTTGATGAAATTACTCTGGGATATAATGATGAACATTTTTTTGAAATATATGGATTCAAAGCCACATGATATAGAATAGAATAGAATTGAATTTATTCGTCATTAAAAATTTTACAATTGCATTGCATTACATAACACTTATAAAATTTTACCATACTAGTCAAACCTGAGCTATATATTAAACATAAATAGATACAAACATTTACATTACAAAAATAAAAGAAAAGCATCTTATTGACTTATATTAGGAGATTGAAAATTCTTGCACAGAATAAAATGCATTCTTTGCTAGGTTATTGTATAGTCTGCAGACTGCATTTATTTCCAAATAGTTTAACTGCATGGTTATAGTAAATGATGCCTTGATAACTCGTCCTGTCCCACCGTCAAACGTGAGTAAGGTAGTCTTAATTCGTTACCCCTTCGCGTGTTGTAGTTATGGCGCATATTATTTTTTGTGTAGCGAGATTTATTTTATTTTTATATTTACGGCTACTAAATATTTGTACAGGCAGGGAAGAGTAAGTATGGACAGCTGAGTGAATGTGTTCTTACATGATTCTTTATACTGAAGTTCAGCTAGGCATCTTATCACTTTTTTTGAAGTTTAAATGCTTTCATGGCATAAGCTGAGTTTCCCCAGAAGAGTAATCCGTGAGATAAAATAGACTACACAAGTCCATAGTTTATTAATTTTTGCACTTCCAGCGAGACAGTTCCACGTAACTGTTTTATTACAAAACATATGCTGCTTAGTTTTGTTACTGTATTTTCTATTTGTACTTCCCGTGATAGTTTTTGATCGATGGCTAGACCCAAATATTTGAAGTGACTTGCATGCTCAATGGACTTGCTATCAATTTTTATAAGAGGACAAACATCATAGGAAATGTTTTTCTGCTAGGTAATCATAAATACCGTTTTGGTGACTGACTGTTGACCCATTATTTTTACACTGCTTGGAGAATTCATGTAATACCGCATTTGATGCTTCTACGGAAAGATATAACTCATTTCGTGGCATCATTTGAGTTGTGTCATCTGCATAGATTATTGTTTTTTGTTGTGACACATTTGAATTTTCTATATCACTCATGAAGAGTATAAAAAGAATTGGAGCCAGGGTCGAACCCTGCGGAACTCCTATTGTAACAGAAGCAGGATGTGACTTCATCAAATCAATCATTACCACTTGTGTCCTATTTTTTACATATGAAGCAACCCAGTCATTGGCAACTCCCTTGATTCCAATTCTGAGCAGTTTTTCCAGGAGTAAGCTATGGTCAACTGGAATTTGCTTGCTATTGAAACTTGTATGTGTGCTCCTGCAAAGTTCATTTATTGCTGATGAAGTTGATCTTTGCTGCCTAAAGCCATGTTGGCAATCAGGAATGAGTTTGTGGTACTCGATGAAATCCACCAATCTCAAATAATAACTATAATCGATGACTTTTGCAACATTACGGAAGTTAGCTACTGAGTTTTAGGGCCTTGATTTATTTCTATATTTCTATGTTAATACTTTGAATTTGTAATAATGTCCTTCCGTAAATTGCAATCGCTGGACATTTTTTTTCAACTAAAAATTTGTTGGAATCATTTATTGGCATTTAAGAAAATAATATTTATAAGGCTACGTAATAACGTGCCTTTTTCATTAGCAGGACCTCGTCTTTTAAATAAATTGTTTTCCCAAGGTTCCTAATTAGAAGAATATACGTTCTAAAATAATAATACTGTGTAAAACTATTTTTGGACAATTTTTGTAAGAAACTCAAATTGATAAATGTATAAAAAAATAGGAAAAGGAGGTGGAGTCTGTATTTTGTATTCCCTTCAAAAGTTTATTGACCTGTGGTGAAAATTGAATTTGTGTAAACCAATCGGTTTCCTCCACTAACGATACCCTATGGAAAAAAAAATGGTAATTTTGAGTGAAGAATATGTAAATTTTCAAATGATAAAGCATGAGCACCAGATAAAATAGTTGACTTTTGACAAAAAATACGTCTTTGAACTAGGATTATTTTTTAAACCATTACTGACGCAACTACTGCTCCCACACACCAGAAGAGCCAAACTATTTCATTTCACCAATCATAACTCCATCATTACAAGGTGAACTATACAGTTTAGTTCATGTCCTATAATTATTCCAACTTGTATGGTTGAAAGCGCGTCTGAAATTGTACTGCAATTCAGTTTCGTGAGAGCAACATTTGCATTTCAGTTACAGTTTTTTTTTTCAATGACACGCTACTTTTTGTTACAGATTTTTGGAGCCGCCAACAATGAATCCACGAATCGTTCTGACACGACACCTGGCCATTGCATATGGTATGGGGAATGCTTCAAAAAGGGTCATTACATGAAAAACTGCCCTTATTCTGGGCCAGCGAAAGCTTTAAATAATGCTACCGCGTTAGAAAAAATGAAAAAAAGATGTCCCGCATTGGCTTCAAAGCCGCTGTGTTGCAGCCCCAGCCAAATTCTTAATTTCGACCGCAATTTAGGAATAGCTGAAAGTTTGTTGAGCAGGTGTCCGGCTTGTTTCAACAATTTTCTCCAACAAATTTGTGAATTGAGCTGCTCGCCAATACAGTCGACTTTTATGAAGATAAACGCCACTGAAACGGATGAAGCTTCGAATACAACGTACATCACGGCTGTCGATATTTATTTGTCCAACCAATACCTGGAGAGCGCTTTCAATTCTTGCAAGCAAGTTAGCATGCCTCAATCTGGTATGAAAGCATTGGATATGATGTGCGGTGGTTGGGGTTCCACTAGATGTACACCTCTAAGATGGTTCGCTTATTTGGGTAGCAACAGTACTCCTCAAGTGCCTTTCCAGATGAACTATTACAGTGGCGCCGGTCCCAATAATGATTTCGTACCGTTGAACCCACCTACAGTATCCTGCAAAACGGCTTTGAATGTAAGTATTTTTCTATTTCAATGGTTTTCAGAGAGTTCCAATAACACGATTTCCAAAAATAACAGGCTCCAGATTCCTTTTTATGTTCTCTAAAATATAATCAAATGCGAATTGAAGGGGTTATATTTTTTTGTATCAGATGGAGTAGTAGAAAGCCAAAAACTTTCTTTCCCAAAAAAAATAATCAAATGTGTAAACTCATTCTCCACCAATAATGGTGGACCAATACCTAATTGAAGTGTCCTCGTCCTTATCGGTACATAATAGATTCAAATTTAAGTAAAAAACTTGATTCTTCTTCCTTCGGTGATGAAAAGAGAATCCAGTATTGAAAAGTAGGATTGGAACCTTTAGCGTATAATAAATCTAAAACAAGCACTATTCTCAAACAAGGGAACTGCGCGACACGCTTTCCATCTACTAAGGGAGCGTCTAGTTCATTTCCTGATGGCGCCAACTTGGTTGGTAAATCGAGTGTAGCGAAGAGTATTGCAGTCCTGGTGTTTGGGATCAGTGCTTGTTTTGGATAGAATCCTGAATGTAATTATATATGTTTGTTTGTATGTCAAAATTTCGTTCCTTGAGAGTATTTACAAAATAAAGTTTTCATGTTACTATTTTTTTGTAAAAAATACTGTTCTTCAGGATTCCGATTTTTTTTAAACGAGCTATCCACCGATCCAATAGATTTGAACTCTGCTTCAATAACTTTTAGGTTATGTTGAAAATGCTGGCTGCTGCATAATTATTTTTTCACCATGGATGACAGCGATTCATTAGGTATTATCGCAAGGGCTTTTTGACTTTTTTAATTTTTCAATTATTTTAAGGGCTCTTTTTTTTCGGTTCATCATCGTAAGGTACTTATGCTCAATATTTTGGAAACTGCACTTAAATATAATAGAAGATCAGCTGATTTGTTCTTCTGATTTGTTCTTCTGATGTGTTCTTCGACACAAGCTAGCTGCTAGCTGCCGAAACTCGTCAAATCTGAATCTATGTAATAGTATCCACCACTTTATCAGAATGTTGGAATTCACAATATCAAAATGTGTCTTAAAAAATACTTACTTGAACACTGATTTTATAGCATTAATGAGTATATGGATTCTGATACGTACTTTAATCTTTCACACTGACATAATATATTTCAATTAAAATCTTGTTTCAATTCAATTTAACTAAACGATATCTAGATGTTTTCATTTATATAAATAACATCATAACACTGGTTCTCAGAAAAACAATTCGATTCTGAATGTTGAAAAACAAATGTATTTTATTTAGAACAACATTGCAAATACATGAAACAATACAATTAATCTTGCAGTTCAGAACTCAACAAAATTTCTTGGTATATATGTTGATGAACACTTACATTGGTATACTCATATCACAAACTTGAGAAAAAAATTTAATGAAATATAATAATAAGATTAGGTCAAAAGTGAGTGGGTCTATTTGACCCTCCACCGTAACCCGCAAGGGTTTGTTGTGGCTCACACCTATTCACACTCGACCAAATAAACCCAGCTGCTTAACGAAGCCGATTAGTTTTATAATGAGTGGTATTTCAGGTCAGATGGTAAGAGTACGGTTCTGCCGAACTCTAAAAACCTGATTCGGTCCCCAGCGGGGCAGGCATAAAGTATGTGCTCTGTTGTTTCATCATTTTTCAAACAAAGGCTGAGACTGTCTTCCGACAGTCTCAGCCTCTGCATATGATGATTCAAATGACAGTGGCCTATAAGAAGGCCTGTTAGACATCGTAGTTCATTCCCACTGCAGTCCAACATCTGTTTGGTATCAAGGTTGGAGTGAGCCAATAATGGAAGATTTTGCCAGGAGTCCATAAATCTTCTTGCCATCCAGGTGTTCAATCTTTGTTTGGCAAAGCCTAGAGCGATGCCAATGGCAGGTTCTGGTCCGATGGAGCTGCTTGCAGCACCCTCCTTTGCAAGGGAGACCAGTATGGCCAGGAATCCAGACCAGAGACAATCTGTCAAGTCTTCCTATCGAGGAGAGTCATTTTTAGCAATTTGCTACCAATTTAGACGTTGTTCGGTAGGAGCCAAGAGCTTCCAACGCCGAGAATATTTTTATTGACTTGTGTATGAGGTTGGATTCTTTCAATCTCTCCACACACAATTCAATAGCATAAATTTTCGCTTGAAATACAGTCGCATAGGTTCCTAGGCAGGATGATATCTCTGTCCTGGGTCTGCGACTGAAATCACCTGCACCAGAACCGGAAGGTGTTTTTGATCCATGTGTGAACCAACCAATATCTGATCTCAATATTTCCTTCTCCTGGAGGATCCAGTCTTCTCTACTCGGGAACAGTACTTTATGAGGCAGTTCTTGGTTGATAGTTGGAGGTATAAAGTCAGAGGTCATTTCCAGAATGTTGTGACTTCCAGTGTCAAGCAACAGTCTGTTGCACTCTGTACTAAATTGATTCGTGCAATTGGCAATGTGCACAAGTCTATATGCAGTCCATCTAGCCTTCCTCTCCAGAAAAATGTGGAGAGGAGGTAGATCTAGAAGGATCTCCATGGCCGCTGACGGTGTGATACTGATGCCACCAATGATAGCCAGACAAGCCTGTCTCTGTAAGCCAGAAAGCTTCGCCTGGGCCGTTTTCTGTAAAGCCTTCGGCCACCAGGAAACCAAGGTCTGAAAATCATCACATAAATCTAATGGATTTGTTCGGTACCTAAACCCAAAGAAGATGGAAATAATCCTAGCAATGAATTTTTATTGGTTCTTAAAATAAACAGTTTGCTGTCATGATGTATATCGTACAGGTCGGACACTTTATTGAACAACTCACACATTACAAATATCGGCAACTTTTTCAATAAATTTGTCCTAGGATTTCTATTGTAGAAAGTAATCATATGCATGGATTGTGATCTAGGTACAAGAAACTGAATTCTTAAGTCATTACAATCAATTTTGTTATTCAAAAGTTCAACTAAAAACATAATTGCAGTGCATTTTCTTCTATCTGCTAGGGCTTCTAAGTTGAATGTGTTTAATAAAATATTCTAGTCTGTGCCCCTAGCTGGATAGAATCCGTTGCACTTAAAACACATGAATTTCAAGCACTTACGCTGAACAGATTCTAATCGCTGAACGGAATTTTGATATAATGCAGACCAAATTAACCATTCATAATCTACCTTACTTCTTATGAAAGTGACATACAATAATTTGAACGTATCAACAGTTTCTGGAGAAATATCCCAATAGCTTCAACGCAGACGATACAATGTGAGTTATAAGAGTATCAAATGTAAGCTTGAATCTATATGGTACAGATATTAGTTCGTATCTCAATGAAAAATCACTAAAAATTATATTTTCTGCGAATTTTGAATCATCAGTAAAATTTCGTATAATACTTTGGGGGATGAAAGAAAATATTCATTTCTTCATCAATTTTTATGTTTTCCCCTTCAAAGTAGTTCCCCTCAGATATAATACACTTATACCAGCATTTTTTCCAATACTCAAAGCAGTTCCGATATGCATTTTTTGGTAAGTCCTTGTACTCTCTCAGCGGGAGCCAAATCTGGTGAATACGGTGGCAGAGGCATGATTACGGTGTTGTTTTTGGCCAAAAAAGTTACGAACAAGCAAGTGCATTTTCGTGATGCCATGGTACAATACCAGATGTTTCCTTCGTATTGCTTCTCACAAGCGGCGCATAACTTCAAGATATTACTCCTTATTGACCTACGACCATGTGGCAAATACTTCTGATCCACTACGCCACGGTAATCGAAGAAAACAGTGAGCAAAACCTTGATATTTGATCCAACTTATCGTTTTTTCTGGTTTCGGCTCTCCTGGGCTCTTCCATTGGGACGATTGGACTTTGGTCTCTATGTCATAACCATATACCCATGATTCGTCACTAGTTAAGACCCTTTTAAGCAAATCTGGATCGCCGTTGACGTCATTCAACAATTCCTGGGCAATGCTTATGCGACGGTTGTTTTGATATCCTGATATCCTCAGCAACTACGAACGAAATATCTCGGAATTATTATAGATAGGCACATGAGATGGGACTTGCATATTACCAGCGTAAAGAATAAATTGAGAGGATTGCTAAGCAAATTCAGATATCTGGTCGGCTATTTGAACATGGAAAACCTCAAAATATTGTATTTTGCACTGGTCCAGTCTCAGCTATCCTACGGCATCCTGGGATGGGGTGGAGTGGCAGAAAATAACTTGAGTAGTTTGAGTGTAATACAAAGGTGGATATTGAGAATAATATTTAAAAAAAACATGAGGTATTCATCGGATCTGCTTTATTCCGAAAAGTATATATTTGATATCAGACAAATATTCTGCCAAAGAATAACTTCTATAAATAAAAACCGAATTTCTCTCCAATCCATTGAGCATACATATAATACAAGAACTAAGATGAGTTTTAAAAATGTTCCGTGCCGTGAAAAGAGTTTTGGGCAACATTCCGTAGAATTCTCCGAAAATATTTGATTTGCTACCAGATGAAATGAAAGTTATTAAAAATTTTTTTTCTTTCAAGCGTCATGTAAAAACATGGTTAAACAGAACTGGTAGAATAATATTCAACAATGTTATCAACCTGAAATTTTTGAAATAGCTTTTGATTGCTTTTGCTATTGTAACACTTACCCAATATAGACTTAGAAACACGGAATTGATACATTTACACTAATTTGGCGCATTTACCTTATTGTGACCCTTTACTCGATATGGACTTCCCACCTAGATTATGTTACAAATTTACTTCTCTGTATTTATATATATTTTCTTATACTTACATGTATCACGAACAAGCATTTTTGCTTCAGTGATTAGTATGTTTGTTTTCAAAAATTGTTTTAATTTATAAACGTGTTGTAATTTGTGTTTTATCGAAAACAAACATTATTATTATTATATGATTACTTCTCTAGATAATAGTGATTCGACGATTCTCCATAACAGTGTTAGAG